ACCAAACTTGGTAATTTTTTTTTATTTTAATTCTATAACTATATAGAATTAAAATAAAAAAAAATTTATCAAGTTTGATTTAATAATTGTTAAGATATTTTGCTTTAAAGTTTAAAAAAAATTACTTAGAACCAATTTGCTTGGTTTCTACTGACACTCCCCCATATGTTAAAAATAAATATTTATTTTTAATATATAATTAACTTATTTTTATACTAAGATAATTTATTTTTGTCTTCTAAATAAAATTGTTTAGTATATAATTTTACATATAATTATTTTAAAATTGAAAAAATAGTTATTTTTGAAGAAGTTATATCTTTAAAATAGACCAAATTAGTAAAATATTAAATTAGTTTTTAAACTAAATTTTTTCTTCTTTTTTTGTTCTATATAATCACGAAATTTATTTTTAAGCTACTTAGGTAAAGTCAAAAAGGATTTTTAGCTCAAAGTTAATAGTAAATTCATATATTTTTATTATAATTTTTATTATAGACAACATTTTGAGCTCTTATAAGAAGAAATGTCCTATGACTGATAGACCAAAAATAGTCTATAATAACTGAAAAATAAGATTTATTTAGGAATCTATATAAATAAACAGTTAGAAAACTTTATTAAATAGTGTTACACTTGAAACTTCCGTTTATAAGTCCAGTATACCAGTTTTACTTTAACAACAGGTTGGCTAAGTATTTAAATGACAATGCTAATTTATGCTTAAGGTAGTTACGCTTTTAAGATTGGGGTGATTTGCAATTATGAAAAAGGCAACAGATAAATGTATATGAAGATACAAGTAATCATATAACAAGTTTATTCTATACTTCAAATTATTTATGTATAGCGACACTATAACTAATTTATGAGTTATTCAAGTAATCTATGTATAAAACCATGATTACTCTTTAGAGAATTTTAATCTATTATTTATTGAATAAAGTATTCAAGTTATTTGTATATAAAAACATAACTACTTCTTTATTATTAAGTTATCGAGTTGTTAACTTACTTTCTACAAGAGTGATATTTGAGCTTATTTATACAATTTGAATCATTATAATCTTTCTGCTATTTTTTTATTTGTACATTTTTGCATGATCTAACATTTATCAAGCATTTCCTGTGCTATTTAAAGCTAATAATTCTGCAAATGATTAATCAAAACTTCTAGAGCTATATAGCACGATATAGTGTTTTGTAGCATTACGTAGTGCTACTAACATTGAAACGTTAGTGTTACATTATGACATGACATTAAATTACAAGGTTAACAGTAGGATATTGCCTAATTGATAATATATTTTAAAGGTAGTAGAACTTTAACAAAGGTAGTAATAATCAAAATATGATTTCTACTCGATTATGCAATTAAAAAGGATAATTAATAAGAATAGCATTTAAGTTTGCTAGTATGTAGTTGGTGATGAAGATTCTATCAAACAACCATTATTCTACTGGAAGTTACTAATAGCTAACAGTAGCTATCACTACCAGTAGTATAATGGATTTCATTCTTAATTGGCTAATTTTTATGCCTATTTTTTTTAAAGTAATATGATATATACTGTGCAAGCTGTATCAACCAGTTATATTTAATAAACTGCTATCCATCTACCACTTTATATCATTAACCTCACGGTAACAACCGGTAGCTACCAGTGGTAGATAGTTACCAGTAGTTATCAACTCACATCACTATATGTAGTATAAAGCTTTGACTGTATTGTGAATTCGTTCGATTAAATTGTATAATCTGATTGGTTAATTATCACAAGAAACCACATGTAGATCTATAAAACTTAGCCAATTTCCCATGAACCTGATTAATTACTGCCACATGAAAAGTCCAGTGACTCGCAAAAATGTACTGACTTGTGATAAAATCACTATTAAAGAAAACCAGTCATCCTAATTTGATACTAAGTCGATACTCGTTTATTTCTTTGACTGACACTAAAAATGCGTAACCATCATAATTTAAAAAAATTCATTGCAAGAAATCAATATGGGCTTGCAAATGATACTTTATTTCCTTACGAAATTTTTTCCTTTTCTGCAGTCTTTTTTTTACTTTTTATTAAAAAATCAAATAAATCAAAAAAATAAACATAAGAAATGGATAGCAGTATGTTTTTAGAAATAAAGTCCAACGTTTTTTTTTTATACCAGATTTTATTTCAAAATTTTACAAAGAATTCCTTTTGTTAATGCGCAGAAGTAGTTTTAGTTAATGCACAGAAGTGGTTTTATTATTATTAATTTTGAGTTGCGAATAGTTTTTAAACACATGATTTTCACATTATACTTAATCTCGTGGATCAACACATGATATTATATAACCAATCAGATTCTATTTTTGTGAATCCCATAATTTTTTTCAATAAGCAAGCATAGGTAATATATAAGCTTACGGTTACTCTCTCTTGTAAGTTCAGAAGTTGAGGGCTCCCGAACAGAGTAAGGCAAACCCAATGATGCTGATGGAAACAACCTACCCTACAAGAGGGGTGACTTGGTTGGGATACCTGGGGTAGCATCCCGGGTATACTTCAAAAGCCGGTAGAGGGGGTGTAGCTAGCACCGGGACCCTCCGCGGAACATCCTATCGCGAACGGGGTAGGTTGGGTACTACCGCTAGATGGTACTATTTTTACTTCAACAATTGATATCGACAAATAAACTGATGTTTCTATTTAAATTTCAATAGCTGCTCCAGTTTTGTTCAACATGTACGCGTCTTTTATATGGTGAATACCTATATCAGGTAAATTTTTGATTTACACGTAATTCTTTACTTCGAGACATCAAAAAAAATTATTGGAAATTTCTTCAAGAATACACATGAAATTTTTTATAAAATAAATTCATATTTATAGAATGGGTTTATTATAAAGATTTTCAGTTTTACTTGTCTTTAAAAAGTGCTTCTAAAGAACTTAACTAACTTTTATTAATATCTACTCATTAGAACGAATTATATCAACTGTAATTTTCGCAAAAAATTCATAACAAAAATTTTTATTAGCTATTTTTAATTTATTGCTAGAAGCACCCATTCCATATTATCGAATTGGTTCAAAATTGGTTGGATACTTTTAAACTATTTCTTTTATTGTGAGTAGACTTTTTTCAACAAAATCAAGTACCTACACGTAAATACAACAATTAATTCTATGAAATTTTTCTTGCGTCAATTATAATAGTCAAGCTATTTAGATTCTTTCACAATCTTTATTTTCATTATAGCACATGATGACTACTTCAGTAAATCAATTATTCATTGATTGCAACCTCTAGAGAGTGATCCGTTGATCAGCAAATGTATATTTGTTCAAAATCCGCAGGTTTGTCATTCGGGGTTTTTTTATATGAGTGCATGATAGTGAAAACCTGGAAACTGATTTAATGATTTCTATGATCGGTTTCCAGGTTTTCACTCTCACGCACTTATATGTGCTCTGTTCAAACTGTATGAAACCAATTTACTAACAGTTCAAATACGTTCAACATCTGCGAAGCATCAACTATCAGGTTTTTTTAGATGATTATGTTCGTTTCTAAACATTGATTTATGTTGATTTTATTTATTTGTTAAAAAAATATAAACAAAAATTACAATAGGTGCTGACACTAATTAATAAAAACTTATATATCATGTAGAATTGATAACCATTTTTGATAACCTCTTTCGTGCCAGTGATTGGGAAGCCACCGAATTAGATGTTGGTAAGGATCGTTCAATGCCAGGTTTAGTTAACAACTGAGGAAACAATTGTGAGGAGGATGGGTGCAAAACATTCAAACATTACCTGAAATTGATGATTTCAACGGAATTTCAAGTTTGCTGTTTGTATTGACTTGTTGAATTAGGTAACTCCATTAATGGAATATATTATTAATCAATTGTTTTGAATAAGTGTCACCTACACTGCAAGAGATCCTATTTGTCAATTAGAAATTATGTTAAATATCTTTATGGTCGAAGCAAATATTTTGAAAAAGAGCGTGTTGTAACAAATGTAATACAAATAATGTATGGTGCCGAACATGTGATCTGAATTTAATAATGCGTGATGGTCATGAGCAATGTTGTCACCAGATGGTTACTAGAATCTTTACTATTGCAAGATCTCAATGGAAATCCATAAATTCCATCACTGGTAATGCAGAAACAAAAATATTAACAAATTATTTCAATTTGAATCCAAAAATTATGATCATATAATTAAATGGTTTCCGATTGAAAGACTACCTTACCTGAACTCTGATCGTGTGCTACTCTTAACACAAGTCATTGTTTTTTTTTTTTTTTTTTTTTTTTTTTCTTTCTCCCTCCGCTATCCTGAAGGTCCTTAGTCACCTTAGGATCTGTCACATCTCTCAAGGCCAGAGTTATCATCTA